TGAATGTGACGTTAAATGTGTGTCTACTGGCGTAAACTACAGACAATACTTCTATTAAGTGGTATTCTTACTTGGGGAATGGGACTGAGGCGTTTATGGTACAAAATGTGAGGCTTTCGCAGCCATTTTGCCATGTTTTCCAGCTATTGGATGTCCTTGGGAAATTGGTTCTTGACGTTTCACCACCACATTTGTGGTACTTACATTTTACTGTCCGCCCTAACGCAAAGCTAGGAAAACATTTAATGATTAAACTAAGAGTTTTTTTTAGCTTATCATTTATTGCTATTGGTTTTCATGCTAAAATTACTTTAAATTCTTCAAAATAAGTTTTATATTAACTTCCGTTTCGTAACTGTATCAATTGTGCTCTTACAAGTTAAAAATAACTTTAATAATAAAAAATGTGTAATAAACTAATTTTGTAAAAAACTAATTTTGAACAATATATGCCAAGAGATCGTTTTAAGAATAAATGTTTATTCGACAGTATTAAAAATTCGTAAATGTGTTCTGTGTAAATCTTTTTATGTCAGAGTAAACCAGAACAATGGGATTCCCTTGATCGAAGGTGCAATGCCCCAGTCCTACAACGTTTAAACAGGACGAGCTTTCAGGCTCTGAAGCAAAATCCACAGACTGGAACCGAAACGCAAATTCACACTTCTGTGGATTGTGGCCCGCTCGAAATTTAAATAATACAAACACAGATACAAAATCTTAGTTTTCTATACAAAAAACAAAATGTTGTTTAAACATGTTGAACTTGGGAATCAAACTCACGACCGCCCAACCATCGGCGCCACAGAGCCAATGTGCCCGCAAAATTCAATAGTCCTATACGTTAGGTCTCTATTTTAATAAAGAGTGTCTCGTAAAGCGAGCTCAAATGGTTCGATATCTGCGCGCGCAACGCTGCGGTATATATACATGCCTACTTACACTAACAGATACAACTTATATAAATTATACAATTGGAAATTGTGTCTTTGACAACGTTGACCAAGATCTACCTTAGTAGTATAGATTTCAAAATTGGAATATATTATATTTGACATCTACATATACATGTGATTAAATAACAATTCGATTTTCAAAGTTTTAAAATAAGAACGAAAAGGCAGATTTGAAATTGCTAAAAGTGCTTCGGGCAGCTCGTAGCTTCCACCAGTTATTTTATTTCGGTTCTTAATTTAAAACGATGCGAACTGCAGTCGCGGCGAGTCGCGTACCCAGACCGAGTTTAGCGTTTCGAGCGCTAGAATTAGCACAGTAGAGAATTCGTTTTTTTAAATAAATTGGTTTTAGCACAGTCGTAATTATACATTTATATTATACATTACAGAAATAGATAAAAAGCGCGACAGATAAGCTCTAGAGAAAAGATAAAAGCCCGTGGTGCTTTCTACGAGTTCTGGCGCGGGTTTCCTTCACGGCGCTCGGCCAACTACACTCGTCGCCGGTCGCGCGGCCAGTTAGGGAATGCGCACCGTTGTAGGTGCACGTGCTGCCGCTTCGAAAGTACGATAATTTCGCGTGTGTTTATCTCACGACTTGTATATCTGTGCCTGTGACCATGAAGTGCTTAGTGCTCGTTTGTCTCGCGGCCTACGTCGGCTGCGCAGCGGCGGCGGCGACGTCCTGTCTCGCCGAGGATTTCTTCGAGAAACACAACGTATCAGCTGACGACAGCCACGAGCCAGGTGCGAATTCACGTAAACACACCGACTTTATATAGTTTTCCTGAAAACTGTATGTTGGCGACGATTGACGGATTAAAACTAGAAATCGACCTGTATACTAATAGAAAAAAATGTGCAGTTAAATGCAGATTTTTATGATATGTTGATTGGGTTTTGCTTCCCGATTCCGATAAATAAATGTAAAATATATATATATATATATATATACGAACATGTGATATTATGTAAATAGAGCAATATAGCGAAATAATGCTTGGATCGCGTTAAACTGCCTCCATGGGTCAACAGTTAAATTATTGCGTTAAGTCCTAGGTTCGACTGAGCTGGGCAAAGTAGCCTGTTCAACTACTTGCTGTATAAAATCAAAGAGTGAAACAGACACAGAAGTGTGCCTGCACCATTCCCCACTTAGTGGGAACGGGATTTCACTATTTTATAATCAAAAGCCTAATAGGGCAATTGAAAAAATGTTTTATTTAAAAAAAAATTAACAGTTTGAACCGCAAATAGGTATAATAGTTAACTTATTTACAATTTATTTGTTTAACCATGAAACGACTTCGGTTACAGAAAGTAATTAAAAATATATATATAAAGTATCAGACAAAGAAATTGTATTATTAATGAGTGATAAGTTGAGATGTCTATATTATTAGTGTAATTGAATATGGTCAAAACTACAAACTACTTCTGTTATTACTATTCTTCTTGGCATATTGACCTCAAGAAGACCAATTGAAGCCCCTCAGGATGCGACGCTTATAGGCCAGTTTGATATAAAGAATATTTAAATTAAAAGATTACATATTCATAACACTGCTGTCGCCTACGAGTTGAATGAAAAAGTCATTGATAAAACTTATACCTATTAAATTATCAAAGCAATTATACATATAACAATAAAGTATCGAAAAATATATAGCGCATATCAATTGTTTTATAAACAAAACAAAGTATTTTTGCAATCAGGAGGCCTTCACCTCACGACATCGTGTTCCTAAGGTGATGGACGCTAATCTAAGTTTTAAATCTTTTTAAATAAGTCAGTCTTCGTTCATGATCGGTTGTGTTGTAGGCACATCGATTAATAAAATCAGAAAAAAGTAATCTCGCTTTAGTGGTGAGTATACTCGACTCGGAAGTCTCGTCAATGTTTAAAATACACACTTTTAACGGTTTAAAACGCGAAATGTATTAGTTAATTATTACAAGAACTTGACTCCTATGAGAGAGGTGCCCAGCCGATGGACAGCTGATATAGATTGGAACAACAAGACAGAATCCAAATTCATCGTCCCAACGATACCGATAATTGCTTTAGTGACATTTGTTTAGTGCGAAACACGACCCGCCATTGTTATGATGTAATTCTATACATTGAAATAAAAACGTGTTGGAATGATCTAATAGTTGTAGTAGGTATGACCGCAACATATCATGCGAGGTTCAATTGTGGCGATGACAAACAGGATTACAGTAATCAGCCGTCTTCTCTCGCGGACTAAGTCGTTGGGCCTAACATCGATAAATTGCATATTAGAGTTGATACTTCGTAAGTACTGTCTAACAAATGATACTACGTAATTCCTTAAAACTTTTTAAAAACCAATATTGCTTTATATTAGTATGCACGTCAATTTTCAAACGCACAGCATCTGCTGTTACGCTAATAAAGCTACCGTTTCCTATCTGTGATTATCGAGATCTCGCGCGTTGTGTACAAATATTTTTTAATCTATTTATAGAGTAGAAACCATATCTAACGTGTTATTTAGATAGGCAAAAAATCAATAGAATATTAAGGACACTTTAGCACAAATAAAACAAAGATCTCGATTCGATCGCATTGAATAAAATGCAGTGACAATAAATACACTTAATAGTTTTAACATAATGACGTCGGCGCATTCCAGCTCGGTGGATTAGTTTGCATTTTATATCGTGTTGCCAATACATGTGTTGTATCAGTCAGCTTGGCGATAGCGTAAACAGGATCGCGTGCTTTGAACAAAACGTAACGTTTCTGCTGCCGTCTTTGGGGTTGCGAAATAACCTGGATTTATTGTTGTTTTTAATTCCGCTATCATTTTACGTGCCTTTTGCGTACTTCGTAAGTCTAATACTAAGACGATTTGATTCCACAGAAAGTGAAACGTTTAATTGAACGAGACGTCAAAGGCTTAGAAATTTGTATAGAAATTAATCTATACTAATAAATTTGAAAAGTTAGTTTATTTGAACACGCTAATCGTAAAAGTTTCTCAAAACTACTGGTTCTAATTGTAGAGAGGGACTAGGGTACGAAATGATTTGTCAGTAAGAGCATTTATCGAGGAAAAATCATATAAAACATAACGTTACAACCAAAAGAAAATTATTCAACTCTGAGAGTTTCCGTTGTGGGCGCCACGAAAACGGTTAAGATTTCTCAACTGACAGAAGATATTCTCAACTGTATGTCCATCTTTATAAGATTACCTCGCAAGAACGACGGAACGTGAACGACGTCGTGGGTAACAGATGAATAGATGAGTTGAAAAGCCTCCTTGCTTAGCAGAAACAAATTTTAACGTCCAAAACAACAATCTACACAGACGAAGTCGCAGCCACAGCTAGTCCAATTCGAATCTTCTGCTTGATATTTAGACGAAAATTTACGTATTTTAATTATGTTATTGAGTTAAAAATAGACATGTTAAAATGCGGTTATGTAATTCTTGCATTAACATAACTGTACAGACATATTGTTTCGTTATCAGCGCTAGTAATGATAATTTGCGATACAGTCTGCCCGTCTAATGCCATCGCTTAGCTGATAAAAGTCATCGGCAGTCAGCTGTAGCCATTCGACACTTGACCGTGAACTTTGGCTGTTCATGAATGGAACAATTCTGTCGTAAACATTATGTTTTGGCGTGTTACAAGCATTAATTGAATACATCGAGACACGCTATCGACCGTGTTACGACTCATTGTTTTAAAAACGACCGTGTGTGTCAACTGTCAACGCCTGATCGTACTTGTGTCAAATGCATTTAATACTTTGCACTCACTTTATTAAATTGAAAAAATGAGATATAAAGATATCTTTCAGGCAAAAAAAGTCGATAAAAATAATATTATATATAGCTTCATGTAAGGTGGCGCTGTCGACGTTTTTTGTTCGATTATAAAACTAGAAAAATCTTTGACCCGTTGGTCATTAGCCATACGAGGCTACCATTAGACCCCGTCGATAACAGTTATTAGTAACAGTAGTACGAATTTATGTACCCAAAACTGGTGATAAGTTAACAGTCACCAAGGTGGGGGGTTATGAAGAATTATGAGTGCGAGACGGAACCGGGTGGCGGCAGAGCGGGGTAAATGGCGGCCGGTAGGCTTTGTTGCTCGTGCTGGCATTCCTCGCCTGGGAACCGGGAACGGACAGCTCCCCGCGCCCGCCGCCACCCGACCCCGTCCCGCGCATTCCTGCCTCACTTTCATTGTTCCCGTCGGCGCGGTAGGTTGCCGCTCCCAATAATGGAACCAGTTAAGTGGGGGAACTCGAGTTCCAATAAACACGTTCGCATCCTTAAATGACATTCGGGTGAAATGGGGCAATTGGAAGTATCGTGAAACGAACGGAAAACGCCCCGAGACTGTCGTAATCTCAATTCGTTTTAGAATTGCCTGACGTCACAGCCAATTGGTTGATTGATACTTGTGTTCCTTTTCAATTGCGAGTTGATATGTTAATCATTCTATACACATGTATAACTAAACTGCCTTTGTAGCTAAATAGTTAAAGACATTGTGTTAAGCGCGAGAGGTCATGGTATCGAATCCCGGGAAAGCAATAGATTCGGCGAGCTCGTTGGTGAAATGGAAGCAATGCGGGGCTAATAATCAACGGCTCGTAGATTCCCCACCGGCTCCAACATCTTATCTGTTATGCTCTAAAAGATTGTTTCACTCATGCAGTGCATAGAAGTCTGATCTACTTGCCTAAATATTCGATCAGTGGCACGGACACAGAGTTGTGTTCGCCCCATACCCCACGGGGGAAAATGGGATTTCACTTATTAGGTACGTAATTTATGTTTTCGCCCCACGGTTTGACCTCTTTATATATGTTTATCTGACTAGTAAATAAAATCGGGAATATAATGTGAGATCACCTTTCGTTTTTGGAAGCCTACGTTATACAAAGAATATTCTGTCGAAGCAAGTCCACGATCAGCAGTTTTGCGAGTCTTTTGAAACAATTCGTTATATTATAGGACATTTATTTATAAGACAACTAGCTGAACCGGCATACGTTGTTTTGCCAGCTCAGCTAGTTTTGTTTTACTAAAATGTCTATTAAAAAATAAGGGTTGATCGTAGAAGGATGAAAATTGAGGATTGTATGTATTTTTGTATGTTGTATCATAAAATATAGCTATTAAAAATTTTGTCTAAAAAATAAAAAAATAAATTTAAGGGTGAACAACCCTTATTACTCAGGGGGATGAAAAATAGATGTTGTCCTATTCTCAGACCTGCTGAATACACATATCAAATTTGGTGAAAATCGGTCGAGCCGTTTCGGAGGAGTTCAAGTTCGAACACTGTGACACGAGAATTTTATATGTATATTAGATAATGATACGGGCCTAGGCAGTCAACCCTAGGTGGCCGCACCTGTTCTTACGTTTAAAGCTAGCCTTATAGCAATAAAAACTTTGTGTGTTTATTATTGAATTGACATTCTTTTTACATGAACCGCATCGTTCAACCCATAATTGGGGATTTTCAGACTTCCGGACTCTGAGATTTAAGATTTTTAGTATATTACCCATTTTCCATCGTTCATAAGATCTATTATAGACTACTCTGCTGTAAAAATACTCAGTAAATGTATTTCTAACTACGAACTGCCGTTTCAGATACTCAACTTAGATGTGAATGAAATTTAATTAACATGTGCTACGCTTAAGGCTTACATAAGCTACGGACAATATTTGACCTATTTAAAACAAGTTGAACCGCGGTTTTTTTAGTCAATAATGATTCAATTAGTAAATCTATCTAATATAACACCCCTAAACAGACGCTATACAATAACAACACGAGTATATAATTTGTCAACTAAACACATATTAAACACGTTGTATTACGAACAAAAAGTCTTAGGTTCGCATCCCTGGAAAACGATTGCTTGTAAATAAAATTTATCAGCGTAACGGACACAAAAATGTGTTCGCCCCATGCCCCAGGTGGGGGAACGGGATTTCAATTAATTAAACAGTGTCGAGTCGATAGCTCCGAGTAATTCCGATGCTAGGAATGCCATTGTGCCCACCGCGGTACCTGCTACGCCCTAGCAGGTAACGCCTCGGTGTTTACGCGTTTTGACAAACACTTGTTACTTGTCGATAAGTTTGGGTGGCAAATGAAAGTGCTGTTGTATTCGTGAACATTGTCTCGTGCAGATTGAGCCCGGAAATTGTCAGCTTATATGCCAATGATATTTAAAGATTATTGCCTTTTCAAGCCGTACTTGAGTATTGTCTATAGTTTACATATTTAAATACTATTATTATTTACCTTTGCTTTGCAGCAGCCGTAGTCACGGGGGACTAGATGTTTAGGGTGTCGCTATTATCAAAGTTAAATTTGCGACGCTAGTGCCACCTCTTTCGTTGTATTTCGTACTAAGAAACTTTCTAAGTATTAAAAATAAATTATAAAAAAGGTGACTAAAATATTTCTCGTTTTAAACCGTTCAAACTATTTTATTTAAATTAAAAGACTATCTCCTAACTCGAAAAATTTATGGCATGCTCAAAGCATGAGATAGTAAACTTATATTACAATTGTAGAAATAATAAGCTGAACTAATAAAAATTATAACGCACTTAAGTTAATTGGTAACTGACATCCCACGTTATAAAATGAAGTCCACTGAATAATTGAAAATCATAAACAAACGAAGAAAGTTTAATTGCAACGGAATTTTTAATTTTAGGGGAGAGCCCTTATATTTGTGTTTTGTTCTTATGGGTAATAATAATTAAGTTAAGGGGCTTATTACAAAAGGGTCTAAGGTCTTAAGGGGCTTATTATTACTAAGGATTATTCAACTAGGTTACAGAAGTTTTCTTTTACGCTTAACAAAAGTTATCTATTTAAAATAATGTAAAAAATATCTCTCTTTAAGAATAAGCATTCAACTAGTAATTTTTTTAAGTATGGACTACGACAAGTATTAGACGGTCGCTGGTCTAATGGCAGCAATGTGTGGCAAACAACGGATTGCAAGTTCGATTCCCACCGGGTTACTTAATTTATAAGTTTTATAAAACACGTTGGACTTCGTCGCGGAATATTAAACGAGTCATAGGAATATCAAAATATTGTCCGGGACACGAAACACTATAGATAAAAAGCGGCGTTTCGGTTGCAATCCGTGGATTTCCCAATGTCCAAAGGCAATAGTAAAATAGGTCGACGACACATCTTGTTTAGATGTCATATGACTGTAGTATTTCACGATTCATCCATGCATATGCTGTCTTAGAAATAGATTTAAAAGTGTCCATTAACAAAAATTACCGTCGAGATTGCATTAGTCGAATTCAAATGGAATTTAATAAGAGAATGTATTGGGATAGACCCGAGCCGGGCGATTCTCTTGGAATTAATTAACAGAGATAAGATGCCCGTGCTAATTAATCTAGTCCTCGACTGTCCCTTGTTGAGATAGGCCAGGAGCTAAGATCAAAGTTCGTGCTAATTGTATGTACTAATATAAAATGCATTGTCATATTGTAATTAAGCTTAATAAATATTTCTCTTAAAACATATTTTAATAAGATCTAATATGTCTCTACCATTGTGTCACAGGTGCTTAAATCTTTACCAACATATAAAGCTGAAGAGTTTGTTTCTTTGAACGCACTAATATAGGGAACTAATGGTGTTAATGCATTTTGTGTTGGGAAAGGAAGGCTATTGGTTACAAAATATCGTACTGTTACTTATAGGATCGAAGAAATAGCGAGAAATGTGGAAAATTCGAAGAAATTGTTCATTGTGGTGGGTTTCCGATACGTATGCTGCGGAAACGGGTCAAAACACCCAAATAATGTATAAGAAAGAATGATTTCTCTTTAAATTATCTAAAAAAATGATTACGACAGACGAGATTTGCAAAACAAATTTGGTTGCCTTAAATAACTATTCTACACGGACGAAGTTGCTGGCACAGCTAGTACTATATATATTCATATTGTAATCAACTCCTGTAAGCTGAGTTTTATGTGCTTTTAGTACTATATTTAGCGTTATAAAGATAAATTTAAAAATACTGAAAATGAAATTGTCCTGACGTTATTTAATATATGGGAAATTTGAATTGTCTGGCTCTCTCACTGTAGTAGTGTGGCGTTAAAAACCCCATCAAAGCCAATAATTATGCTTAAGTTTGTGCACGTCACTGTCTACTGCGTTGCATCGTAACATTGAACTGCTTGCTTGAGCCCCCCTTTTAACCAGTGACTGCACACTGCGTATATAGGAAAGTAAATAGAATAAGTGCGTTTAAATAAAACACTTTTATCGGTGAAGAACGCGAAATGAAACTTTTTTACAAATATATTTTAACTACGGCTCGAAATTTCCGAAACTGGTGTAAACTTATGTGTTACTAGTTCAATTGTATTATTACTCAGCCTCGTCCAGATTAACGGATACTTTGAAAAATGAAAATAGGTTGACAGCGTCACGTTCAGACGTTATATAACCTCCGTTTAGTGAACTCTACATTTGTCTTTCCTCCTCTGTCATAAATAAGTTCGGCTCTTGGTCTATCAGGCGGTATATAGACTTCAAGTAGGTATGTTTGGTTGTTATCGCAGTTCATGATCCTTTCTATCATATAGGTCTTCGGTACTTGACAGTTCATTGTGACGGCCCGACATGTATTTAACTCGAATGCAGATCGTGGTTTTGAGTTTAGAGGTATGCGCGTCCTTGTATAGCACGTTAGACCGTCGGTCCCGGTTCTTTTCAGTTTTTTTTGTGGCGCTTGACATCGCTATATTCTGCCACTATTCTGTTAATGTACACATTTAACAATTCTTCTTAGTTGTACTGACATCTGTCAATGTCACTGTCAACTGTCAGGTATGAGTGACCTAATTTAATAATTTGGTTAGAGTTGAGGTTTTCATTCAAGACCCCCATGAAAAAGAAATAAGCTTACCCCGGTAATATTAAAAGAAAAAGCGAAATAATCTTCAAGAAAATGCAGGTCACGAGTCGGGGTCTTTTGAAAATCTCGATTTCTTCCCTCGGGAATACGAGGTAAGGCATCGGATTTCTGCGGGAGACGGGTTTAAATATTAATAAAAGAGTTATTATTATCTTTGCAGACAGATGAGATCTAGTGCAGGTATTGGTGGTTCAAGAAATTAAAAGTAACTTTAAAACTTTAACTTTTATAGTTTAATCTTAATCAATCTAATGATACGTAATTATAAATTTTATTAACAAAAATATAGGGACATTTTTTTATTTTTTTTATTTAACTTAGCTCAACAATTTTCTAAACATTGACC